TCACGGATCTTATGACAGGTTCCTCGAGGTGCTGCTGCTTCTGTATGTTTCAAGACTGGACTTGCTCACCTAGAGCAAAATAATCTTTCAGATGCATTGTCTTGCTTTGATGAAGCTTTTCTTGCATTAGCTAAGGAGCAATCTCGAGGAATTGATATAAAAGCTCAAGCAACAATCTGTGCCCAATACAAGATTGCAGTCACTCTTCTTCGGGTACTATAATCAATATTCAATTTTATAACATAAGTAGAGTAGACATCTTACCAAAAAGAAATAGGTACATAAGCTGCATGACAGAAAATAAACCATTAGCTACACTATAAATTGAGCTGAAACTATTTTTGTTGCATGCCTTGGTGCTCAATCAAACATTGTAAATTTACATCGAAGAATGTTTAACCTTGTGGTCTAAAAATGTTGGTTTTCTCTGTTTAGACAGGAACCTCATTATTGAAATATTTATTCACTTCATTATTGCAGGAAATTGGACGCCTGCAAAAAGTCCATGGTCCAAGTGCAATAAGTGCGAAAGATGAGATGGGAAGACTTTCACGTCATCTCGGTTCATTGCCTCTTCTGGCTAAGCACAGAATAAATTGCATTCGAACTGCTATCAAAAGAAATATGGATGTCCAAAATTATGCATATTCAAAGCAAATGCTGGAACTTCTATTGTCTAAAGCACCTCCAGGCAAGCAGGAGGAATTTAGGAGCCTGATCGACTTGTGTGTTCAGAGGGGTTTGACTAACAAGTCCATTGATCCTTTGGAAGATCCCTCACAATTCTGTTCTGCCACCTTAAGCAGGCTGTCAACCATTGGATATGATGTTTGTGATCTCTGTGGAGCCAAATTTTCAGCTGTTACTGCACCGGGATGCATCGTCTGTGGAATGGGAAGCATCAAGAGATCAGATGCTCTTGCTGGAGCAGGACCAGTTCCTTCTCCGTTTGGTTGAGTCTCAAGATGGTTTGTAATCCTTGTTATATATAACCTTTGTTATCCTCAGGGAAAATGTTGTAAAGAGAGAAACAACTTTGAAGAGTAAGTATTCAAGAGATTATAGGGTAACAAATATTGCACCAAATCTGGAGAGATTATAGGATTTATCCATTTTGTACACTACAGTTGAGTTTTGATGCGATTGTGATGGTTTCCAAGGCTTTCTCTGTTTTTTTTCCCCTCCCCGATGACACATTGTCTGTCAATACCGAAATATGTTGTTCTCTTGTAATTTTGTAATTATATCCGGTCTTTGCCATAATTGAAACACGAAGTTGCCGAGTATAATTGTATTTCGTAAATACTGTTCCATGTCATAATACATTTCTCTTCTTTTACAATCAATATGCAAATTCAGCAATGCATGTACATTTACTACGGAGTCTATTTGTTTTGCATGCAAGAAAATACGAGTATCGTGAAAATTCGCGAAAGATATCTTCGCGCTTGTTTGATTTACGTATCTCGATATTTTAATTCAAGTTGCTGTCTGAAAACCGCACTAAGAGATGAAATAGTTAAATAACACTGTCTCCTTAAGTAGTGAGTAAATAGTAGAGGAAATAAAATAGTATTAGAATGATTTATTTATATATTTATTTACCTATTTATCACAAAAGGATATGAAAATTATTTAATATAATAGAACGTAAATATAACTATCTTAAACTGTGTTTTGATAAATTAGCACCTGAATTTTTAAACGATATTATTAGATGCATGTTAAAGTGATCCATCCTAGTTTTCACCCTATTATTAAGTCAAAGTCTTGTTAACCTGGAGTTTAACTAATTACAGTAAATAAATCTAGACTTTTTTTTAATCTTTTTTTATTAGGATTGTCTTGTGTAAATAAATATGAGTTAATTAACTATACATTGTCATTGTAAAGTTTTTTTTACACTAGTAACCAATTATATCTTTTAATTGTGTCATGTCACTATAAATACTATTTATAGTGACATGACACAATTAAAAGATATAATTGATTGCCAGTGTAAAAAAATTTTACACTATCAATGTGTTGATGATTAACTCAATAAATATTGAGTTCCACATTTTGTTTCAAGAGAAAAGTGAGTTTTTGTTTTTGTTGAATAAGGAAATATTACTCTTTC